ATCGATCACTTGCCTTTTGCATTATCCCTCGAAACGTAATTTATCACAAAGAAAACGGTGATGAAAAAGTTGTTTTAAAAACACTCAGTTTCATTTATATTGATAAAAAAGGAATTCAGGTTCGAGTGTAGAGAACGAAGTTTTTTCTTAATGGAAAGTGAACGAATTATAGACGTCAAACTTTCACACAACATGACACAACTATAGATCGTCCTGAAAATAATTGGATGCGCTCACAACAAGATGAAGATAATCATCACAGGTCACGCTCCCAAAACAACTAACTTTTCTCGCAGTCCATACACTTTCTATCCGGTAAATCCATGTCGTCAACCTCGTATTCAGCAATCAAGCTCATCGGAAGTCCTTGAATGGCGCACAACACCGACGATACATCACTATTCGGTTGCGCCAAACCCGCATCACACGCACATCTGCTACACGCTTTACTACAAGCCATCTCGTGAAGTATTGAGCCTCTGAAAATTATGCTCACATTCTTATATTACCCAACTGTCACGCTGAACATTCTGAAAATGCTCATTAACAATAACACTTCTCTTGTTTCGTGCTTCTCAATTTATCGACGTGTTCATTAAAGCACGATCGAACTGATTCATCAGGAGTATCAATCCAAATACAGCATGAGGCGATTACAATCAATTTCGACCCTGTGAACTCAGTCTCTGCATTGGATTGATTGATGAACGTAATGGGGTGCTTGATTTTTGGCGCTGACACACCACGAACATATATGAAAACTCAACCGAGAATTGGATATCAGTTCCTTCGAATTAATGATCGCAAATCAAAACTTTTCTCCAACGATGTGAAATGTTTAAACATAAATTGATCAACCAACTGTTTGAAGGTATTTGAGGAGAGTGAAATAACGCAGAATAAAAATGGAATGAATGAAATTCATAATGATTACGTTTGAAGTTTTGCGGTAATCAACGCGTTCAATGAGGCATTACGAAGCGAATTTGCAATGCGAGAGGTTCTTGCGAATGGACACACTTTGGCGATCGTTTTGTTGAGTTGACTGGTTAGCAGTAGTCGAACGACACTGATACTACGCCACATACACGCAATGTGAATCGGTGCATAGCCTCGTTCGTTCGTTTCTGATAGTATCTTTTCCACTTTCTGCCAACCCAAACACTGGATCAGTACGCGTAATAATACCTAAAATATTATCATATCAACCGTTAAGTTTACTTTGGTACTATTACTCCGGCTACAGAACCCCTCATTACCACTTCAAGTTATTATCACCCGTGTACAGAAGAATTTATCACCAAAGTATTTATCATTTACCGCTAAGATTCCCTGCTTCCCTCGCCATAACCGTCGTTTTCTGATGATTCACAGGAAAAAAATAATCAGCAGCTCATCCACATTCCTCAGCACTGTTGCAAGTACACATTATAGATTAAAAATTATACGACAGATATCAGAAACAACAAAGAAAGATTACTTTAACGCATTTATAGTCAATTCCTCGACATGCCAAATGGAGTGCACTATCGTTATTTTCATCCGATACCAGCAGAAACTTATAGCCATCTTTATCGTTTAACGTTTTCTGTTCTGCGTTCAGTTTTTTCAAACGATCCTGAAAATTCAGTATCCCTTAGAAAAATAAACAATTCTGAAAGCGAAACGCCTACAATGAAATGTGAATATGTCGCATATGAGATATACTTTGCCAACCTTTTCTTGACGACAAAGAATATCGAGAATAAATTTCATCGAATTTATAGCACCATATCTGGCTGCGGTTAAGAGTGGTGTTCGCCCGCGAGACGTTGCTTTATTAACATCAGCTCCGAGACTGAATAATACGTGTTACAGGAAGGAAATAAACTTTAAACTGGTGGATACATAAATTGAAATTCAATGAAAATAACGATA